TGTCTACTGTGCATCTGGGTATTCAGCTTTATCCATGAAGGTCTTCCATGTGGTTGCATGTAACAGGAGTCCATTCTATAAAAATGAACATGTAACAGATTCTATGTACTCATTATTTTATAGTATTTAAAGATTCTGAATTACAGTTGTTTTATAATTTGGTGACTAGTAAACTTTAAGAAAAATAGAGAATCTGGGCTAGCCAGTGGCATGGGGTTAAGGTGCTGGATTTCCACACGGCTGACCACAGTTTGAGTCCCAGACCTGGCAGCCTGAAGATCACATCAAACTTGTGTGCGTGCGTGCCCAAAATCCCAGGAGGGGAATGGAGGAGAAGGGATTGCAGCATGACCATCCCCCCGGGGGGTGATTTCTCGCTTTCCCTCTCGCTGACTCTCTCTGTCTCTCTGTAGGGAACACAGGCAGACTATGGGGGGAGGGGAGAAAAGAAAAGAATAGCAAATCTAAAACGGTTCTTACCGTTCCACAGGGGTGTGTATAAGCCGGGAGAAATTACAGCCCGTGTGCATGCTGAGAGTGACAGGGAGAACGGACAAGGTTTAGGAGCTGGGTTGTGAAGGACTGAAAGGGAGCGTGGACAGGGCACAGGTGCAGAGGGGGCTAAACTTGAGTTCATTCTGATGAGAGAAAGGAAGGTTTCACTGGTTGATAGGCCCTCCACGCTGTAAAACCCTTTCTGATTTTTATATGTGAGCAGCCCTTCTGCACAGCATAAAAACTCGAAGCAGGTCTTTGGACAGCCAGTTTGGTGTTGCCGTTGGTTATGGTTATTACGCCCTTTATGGGCATCATAAGGAAACGGGCAAATGCTGGTATGCTTGTTCTAAGTGGATGGGACAAGAGGGAGGGCAGGGTTGTGGGAAGATAGGAAAAAGAATATTTGGGGAAGGAAGAGGAATCCAGTGGCCAGAGCATCCAGGTCAGGGAGGAGAAGGGGCGGCTGGAGGGTCGGGATGGGGCCAGATCCTGAAGTGTACGTCGTCCCCTCTTGGCTGTGAGTTCACTTTCTACAGTGTTGGTTACTTGTGGTCAGCCTCGGTCTAGTTAAACAGAAAATTCCAGAAATAAACAGTTCATAAGCTTTAAGTGATGCCTCGTTCTAAGCAGCCCAATGAGCTCTCACCCCGTCCTGCTCTGTCCCTCTCCGGATGTGCGTCATCTCTGTCCCGCGCATATCCGTGCTGTCTGCACCGTATACCTCCTGCTAGTCACTTAGTAGCCGCCGTGGCTGTCACACTGAAAGCACAGCATATGTAGGGTACAGCCCTATCCACAGGGGGTCTTGAAACGGGGGCCACCGTATTGATACAGTAGAATACTGTGACGCGAGGGGCAGCAGCGTGGCGAGGCTCAGCCCTTACGCAGAGCCTTAGAAGCAGAGTCACTCCAGCACATGCAGCAGGGCTCCCTTCGAAGTTCAAAACAGGCGAAAGGAATCAGGGTACAGTCCAGATGGTTACTAGGGATGCGGAAGGGACCAGTCAGGGGACGTGAGAGCTGTTGGGCCCGGGAGTTCTAGCTTGACCTGAGTGCTGGCTGCTCAGACCGATGCATTCGTAAACGTTCTTTGTGAGTACGTTTCAAATGTGTGTGCTTTGTGTAAGCTATTTCTCCGTGGGAGAAAAAAGCCGGGCCTTGAGCTAGACCTTGACAGGAGGGCCATGGAGACCATGGAAGAGTTCAGGGCAAGAGAAGGGCTCAGCAGGTCTGAGTGTTAGGAGGGTTCTCGGGGCGGTGTGAGGGATGCATGTGGGGAGAGGCCTAGTGCTGGCCCCAGCCTCAGCCCAGGACTGGCTGTGTAACCCTGGGCAAGCCCCAGCCCTCCCAGTACCGCCTTTCCCTCCCTCACGGGACTGGAAGCAGGACAGAAATAGGAGAGGGAAGTAGCCCGTCACCGTAAGACAGCCCTCTGATTCACATCTGCAGCACAGCGCCTGGCACAGAGCCCTCAGGAAGCCTTGGCGTGGGGAGAGGGGGTGCAGAAGCTGCTGGTAAGGGGGCCGTCGGGAGGGCTGAGCCCCACAGAGGGGTGGGACAGGTCTGCCGAGGCAGATCCAAGAGGATTCAGAACATGGGGTCTCTTGCGTGTTCTGTTTCTTAGTCAAAAACTCCTAACGGGCTCCGACCTTATCTCAGCACAAACCGACCTGTGGAAGGTGGGGAGCTTTGGGCGACCCCGGGGTTCAGTGTGCTCATTCAGGGGCCTTCCCAGAGGCCCAGGCCCATGGTGCTGAAGACACCGCAGTGGACAAACATGACACGGTGTGACAATCTCTGGGTGTCTGAATGGTGGCTGGGCCGTTGGCTTAGTGCTGGGGCTCTGGAGCCAGGCTGCCCAGATCACGGCCCAATGCCCCTACATCTCTGGGAAGACTTCTCCATCTCTCCAAAGCCGTCTTCTCACCCATTAAATGGGATCAATAGCGTCCACTTCTTTTCTGAGACCCTATATATAAAGGGCTTAGTGCGGTGCTTGACCCAGGAGGTACTAGTACTGTGATAGGGACAGGTTCATGTGAGAGCTTCAGAGAGGGCTTCCTGGAGGAGGGGATATCTAAGCTGGGGAGGAACAAGACGGGGTTTCCCTGCTGAAGGGGAATAGGAAAAGAAAAGAGTGCTGGAGGAATGAAGGTGGCAGGGCATTGGGTGACACTGCCGGGAGGGCTTCCTTAGGGGAGGGTGTTGGCGCCTCCTTGGAGACCTTGCCTTGTTCCTTTTCCAGCCCCTGCCTTCACAGCGCAGTGGCTGGTGTCCAGAGGAAGGGCTGTCTGTAGCAGTGGGTGGTGGAGGCCCCGATTTAGCTCTGAGGCTGTGGGGCGAGGCTGGCCATGGGCTTTTAGGGTGATCCAAAGATAGCTCAGCAGAGGAGGATGACTTGTAGCCTGGGCTTCCCCGCAGAGTGAGGGAAGCCAGGATGAATCAGCCTCTCAGACTGGAATGAAGCCACTGTGGGAAGACCTGGGTTCAGGGCCCAAGGCTATTGTCTCTGACTCACCTCAGGCAGCACAGAGGGATGGCTCAGCATGGGCTGCCCGGATGCCTAGCTTCCTGGCTGGGGGTCTTGGGCTAGGCCCAGCTCCTGTGGAGGCTTCAGTTTCCTTCTTTCTTTCTGTCTTTCTTTCTAAAGTATTTTTTGCTATAAGGCGTGCGCGCTTGCCAAAAAGAGAGACAGAAAGTGAGAAATCACCCCCGCCCCCCCTAATGGGATGGCCATGCTGCAATCCCTTCTCCTCCATTCTCCTCTCAGGATCATGGGCACACATGCACATGTGCCTGTCATGAGTCTAAGCCACCATGTCTGGGACTCGAACCATGGTCGACTACATAGGAGTTCAGCGACATAGCCATTACACCAACTGCTAGTCCTGGAGGCCTCAGTTTCTCTAACTGTACAGCAGGGCAGGGAATGCTGACTTCTAAAACTCAGGGGGCATGGGGCTGGGCACAGCAGGGCTTCTGTAAGTGCCAGCCGCTCCCCCTTTCCCTGCCAGGTCCTAGCAGGAGCCAGTATGTGGGATGGTGTCAGGTTCCCATCAGTGTCTTGATGTGTTCTAGTGATGCTCAAGTAGAGCCAAGAAAAGCAGTGCAGGGGAGAGGAGGAGTTATGGGCAAGGCCAGCAGGTGGCATGGTGGTTAGGGTGCTGGACTCCCACATGGCAGACCACGGTTGAGTCCCAGAACTGGTGACTTTCTTTCTTTCTTTTTTTAAAGGATTATCTATTCAGTTTTATTTATTCATTCATTTATTTTAATTTGACCAGAGAGAGAGACAGAGAGAGATAGAAGAGGGAAAGTCAGAAAGCAAGCCACCACCAGATCTGAGACTCGAACCATAGTCAGCCATGTGGGAGTGTCCAGCACCTTAACCACCATGCCACCTGCTGGTCCCCTGTGGCTTGCTTTCTTACTTTCCCTCTCTCTCCCACTCTTCCTCTGGCATGCACATATGCCCTGTAGCAAACTTAAGAAAAAGTAGTCATAATAATAATAATAAATAAAATAAATGCATTAAAAAAAAGAAAATATGCAGCTACACATTGTGTGAGAAGGTCAGCATTAAGAACAACCATCTCATGCATTTGGTTCTTACCAAGTGCTTGACCTTCTGTGCCACTCCTTGTATTTTTCTTATTTTTTAAGATTTGCTATAGGATGCATGAATTTGCCAGGAAGAGAAAGTGGAAAATCACCCCCCAGGGTAGATGGCCATGCCATAATCAATTCTGTTTTCCTCTGGAGCTTTGGAGCACACATACACTCGCACCTGGTATGGTTTTCAAACCAGCAGGTTCAGGACTCTTAACTGTACAGTGGGCGATGTGGGATCTAGCTACTGGCTGGACTGCCACTCCTTTTTAAAATTTTCACAATAGTGGGGCCAGCAGGGGGTGTAGTGGTTAAGGTGTTGGACTCCCACTTGGCTGACCACAGCTCGAGTCCCAGATCCGATGGCTTAAAATCACCGCGGTGGTGGAGGGAGGGTGATTTCTCACTTTCCCTCACTCGTTCTTTCTCCAGCAAGCGTATGCACCCTGTGGCAAAACCTTAATGTACTGAGTCATCGGAAAAGTCGTGACGTACTTTTCTATGTTTTATATACAAAAATGAGTCACGACTTTTCCAATGACCCAATAAATAAATCTTCACAGCAGTTTCATGGGAAGGTGGTTGTATTTTACAGGGAGTATAACATGTTGAGTGGTAAAGCCTCTTGCCAGGGTCACAGAACAAGTAGATGGCAGACCAGAATTTGGACCCTGATCTGTCTAAACTCAGAGCCCTTGCTGTTCACCTCAGCTCTGGGCGGGGGCCTTGTTGAGGACTGCTCAGCCTACAAAACTGGGAGGGCACTTCAGAGAGGCCTCTGTGTTATAGATGGGGAAACAGGTTCAGAAAGGGTAAGGGCCATCCATTGGAATGATCTGAAATGATTTGAAGCATGTTTCAAATGTTTGGAAAGAAACAGCAACTTCTGGCTTTGTTTAACATTTATTACAAAGTATAAGAACAGAGACTGGTGAGATGCACTCCCTCCCACCACCAGATTAGCCTCTGCAGATCTGGAAAAACGGTGTCCTCCACCTGTCCCGCCAGGGGGCGCTGCCTTCTTCCTGGCCCCAGCCTTGGACTCAGTACCTTCAGCCCGTCCAGCGGTAGCCGAAGCTTTCAAGGGTCCTGGACTCCTGACCCCAGTCCCCTCCTCTCTGGGGACCTAGGAGTCTGGCCTCAGCACCTCCACTTCTGACTGGAAGCCGGAGGTCATCTGTAGCAGCATAGTGAAAATGTTTTAAAAAATGAGTCATGTGGGGTGACCATGACCATGTTCCCATCTGGGGCCTTGGGTAGGCCAAGCCTTCTCCCCTTCAGCCAGTGTCCCCTCCAGCAGCCATCAGTTAGTCCACCCACTCCAAGGTGAGGTCTCCTTTGGTCCTTGCATTGGAGGTACTTTATTCATGGACCTGGTTCAGGAGTGGCAGGGAGGATGTCCTAGACCTCAGTCCTGGGGAAAGCAGCCCGTTCCTCATCTGTGGATTCTGGGGAGACATGCAGAGAGATGTTAGCCAGGCAGGCCAGAAAGCAGAGGAAGAGTGGGAGCAGGGACACACCGAGGGCGAGGCAGGCAGAAACCGTGGGCAGAGGCAGGAGGATGTGGGTAGGTGTCCCTAGGCACCCAGAGACCAGGGTACAGATGAGCATCTGGACAGAGACCTACAATGGACAGAGTCAGCGCACCCAGCAACGGGCAGAGAAAGACACACAGACCGAGCAAAGAGAGCGGGAGAAGGTGCCGAGGGTCAGCGGAGGGGAGAAGGAACCTGTCCTTCCTCCTTCACTGCCACCCAGCTTGAACACAGAGTCCTTTCCTCCAGACAGTGCCAGAGCTGAAGAGAAAGGCTGGCCTTGTCTCCAGGCTGTCCCCCACCCCCTTAGCTACACAGGGTGCTGGCCACAGGCACCCTTCCTCCAGGATGCCTTCCTGCCTGAGTCCCAGCTCCCTCACCAGCTACGTGGCCTCCTGGCTGGGTTCTGCAAGCTGTCGTGGCCCCAGGGCGGAGCTAAGCAGCTCCGTCAAGGCATCCAGCTTCCCTGCCAGTGCATCGATCCGCTTCTCCAGGGCCCGGTGTGAACTGCTCAGACCCAGCTGCAAGTCACACAGGATCATGTGCATCTGGGTGGGAAGAGATGGTCGAGGGTGTCAGGGGCTTTCCCCTTTCCTGCTCCAAAGCTAAAGCAATAGAAGCAACGTTTATTAAGTCCTCACTGGCCTTTGACAATCATGCTTGGAAATAGCTGTAACCATTCACTGACTACCTACCAAATCCCAGCCACTTAGCTGGGTGCTTTTACTGTATGGTTTAAACCTTCCTAAAAGCCATGAGGGGGGACCAGCAGGTGGCGTGGTGGTTAAGGCACTGGACACTTCCACATGGCTGACCACGGTTCAGGTCCTAGACCTGGTGGCTTGCTTTCTCACTTTCTCTCACTCTCTCTCTCTCTCATCAAATTTAAATGAATGAGTGAATAAATACAATTTTTAAAAAAGCCATGAGGAGTGGGAATCCTGTTCTCATCTTTTTTATTAAAGATTTTTTTATTTAACCTTATTTATTTATTTTTGAGAGGTTTTTTGCTATAGGGCATGTGCACTCACCAGAAGGACAGAGATAGAAAGCAAGAAATCCCCCCCCCGGGGAGGATGGCCATACCACAATCCCTTCTCCATTCTCCTCTTGGGATCTTGGGCACGCACGCACACGTGCCCGACATGAGTTTAAGCCACTGGGTCTGGGACTCAAACCACAGTCGACCACATGGGAGTCCAGTGACATAGCCATTACGCTAACTGCTGGTCCCTATTTATTTTTTTTAAAATTTGACCAGAGGGGACAGAGAGAGAGAATGTGAGAAAGCAAGCTGCCAGATTCAGGACTTGAACCACGGTTGGCCATGTGGGAGTCCAGCGTCCCTAACCACCATGCCACCTGCCAGCCCCCCTGTTCTCATCTTACAGCTGAAGAAACTGAGTTAAGGAGCACTTAGTTGACACACCCAAGGTAGCGCCTAGAAGGGCCTGGACATGGCAGGTGCTCATTAAATATTTGTAGAGTCAATGACGACTTCCAAGTTCACATAGTCCTTTTACTGAATTCCCAAACCAGGGTCCACGCTAAATCCTTGAAGGTTTGTGAGATTTCTATGGGAATTCTTGACTTCTGTGGTATGGGTTTGATAATCCCAAGAACTTTTGATGTTCCCGGGCCACCACCCCCTCACTGAGACTGGCCAGGTGATTTGGGGGCCTGCATCCGTGACTGTGTTTACCGCGGTATTGGTGCTCAGGGCCACTGTTTGAATTGTCACAAACTAGAGAGAAAAAGCAGAGGCCACTAGACGAGCAGAAGGTGCTGTTAGCCAAGCCATGGGGGTGTGGCGTCACTGTCCCTGAGCACTGGCAGAATCAAATGGTCTCAGCAGCAAAAGGGGCATGTGAGCCAAGTCATGCCCCCTTCTCAAGAGCAGCAGAGATTGAGCTTTACTGAAACAATGTTACCGGTCTACTCAGCGTTGTAAATAGAATTTTTATTGGTTTTTGCCATCGATGTTTGAGCTTGGTTTGTAAATTTGCTTAGGTTTTTATTATGTAAGAGTTGTCGTTGGAAGGAATTTTACATCCGTCCACATGTAAGCAACTTGACAGTAGAGATTAGTTGAAGCCAAACAGTGAGGCTCTTTGTACAATGTCTCTCTTTTTTTTTTTTTTTACGTTTAAAAGTGATCCACAGAGCTGGGGATGGTGGTGCACCCCTGCAGCCCCAGCTGGGAGGCGGAGTAGAAGGACTATCTTAACAAGAAAAGGAGGCGTGCTCGCTTCGGCAGCACATACACTAACATTGGAACAACACAGAGATTAGCATGGCCCCTGCGTGAGGATGGCATGGAAATTCGTGAAGTGTTCCATATTTTGTGAATCAATAAAATATGGAACAAAGTTTAGTATGGAAGGGAGGACGGGGGAAGGAAAAAAGTAAAAGTATGCTCAATTGACCAAAAAATGAGAAGCTACTTGCTGAGAAGTTATAGAGTAATATCTTTGGCTTGACTGACATGCATAGTATTTGTGCTGGAAAAAGAAATGTACACTGTAAAGATGTGATTAAATGTAAATAATTAATTTTAAAAAGTAAATAAGTAAAGTTAAATAAAATAATTCTTTAAAAAATTTTTTCTTAAAAAAGGAGGGGGACCAGTAGTTGGCGTAATGGCTATGTCACTGAACTCCCATGTAATCAACTGCAGTTCAAGTCCCGAACTCGGTGGGTTAAACTCATGCCAGGAACATGTGCGTGTGTGCCCAGGATCCTGAGAGGAGAATGGAGGAGAAGGGATTGTGGCGTGGCCATCCCTCCTGGGGGGAGATTTCTCGCTTTCTGTCTCTCTGTCTGTCTGGGGAGCATACACGCCTTATAGCAACCTCTCCAAAAAAAAAAAAAGAAAAGGAGGACCCGCAACGTATTGGTACAAGTAAAAAGCTCTGTATCACGTCGTTCATTCACCCACTCCCACGACTATTAACCTTTACTGAGCACCTTCGTGTGCCGGGACCCTGCCAAGCTTCCCTATTTTCCTGCCAGCCTCTTCTTTCAGACCTCCTCCCACGGAACCCCGGTACCTTGGAGATGTCCACCATGGAGTTCACTTGCTCTCGGAGCTTTCGGTGTTTCAGCCGCACCTGGCGGAACCTGTGGGAAGTGGGGGGTCCACTCTACAAACCTGGCCCCTGGTTCGGGGATAGGATGAGGAAAGGAGAGACTATAAAGAAGGAACATTGCCTAAGAGCCGGAGGGGTGGGAGGAGGGTGCTGCACCCGTGAGCCCTCCTCCAGTAGAGAGCCAGGCATCCAGGTCCACAGACACTCAGATGTGTATAAGTCAGTCCAGTCACAAAGTCACAGATCTGCATGGACAGCTCCTCATGAGGCCACACACGGATGACCTGAGCAGGCAAGGGCATGTGTGCACGCACACACATGCTATGCAGAGGGAGCAGATACGGACACGGGGGCACAGGGTGTGTGCACAGAGCGGCCCTCACGTGTTGATGGCGGCCAGCAGCCTGCGCTGGTGCCTGCGGGCAGCTCCCGAGTCCTTCCTGCGTGTGTGCTTGTAGAACATCCAGGCCTCTTGTAGCACTCGGGCAGCAGACTCCTTCATCTGGAGGTGCATGGCACAGTGTCAAGCCCACCTGGCCCCTAGGACTCCGGGAAGAGGGACCCGGGAACCCCCTCTCCCGGCCCTGGGGGGCTGGGTCTGGGTGCCATCTGATCTTCCTCACCTCTTTGGCGTACTGGATGTCCATCATGAAGTTGTGCACGTGCTTCTCTGCCTTGTTGAATTCCAGCTTTCGGGCCACCACAGCCACCAGCAGGGCTGTACAGCAGACCCCCTGTGGGCACATTAGGCCTGTGGCCCACGGCTGTAGGGCTCTGGGCCACCAGGTCTCCCCATGAGCCCTCCCAACAGCCACAGAAGGCAGGTACCCCCATCCTTAGTTGACAGACAAGCAAACAGGCCGAGAGGAGAACCAAGTCCCTCAGCTCAGGGTTTGGAGTTAGGATCAGAAATCACATCTGGGGGCCAGCAGTTAGCGTAATGGCTATGTCGCTGGACTCCCACGTAGTCGACCGCGGTTTGCGTCCTAGACCCGGTGGCTTAAACTCACGCCGGGTGCGTGTGCGTGCGTGCCCAAGATCCCGAGAGAGAATGGAGGAGAAGGGATTGTGGCATGGCTATCCCCCCTGGGGGGGGGTGATTTCTCACTTTCTGTCTCTCTGTCTGGTGAGCGCACGCACCCTATAGCAAAAACCTCTCAAAAAAAAAAAAAAAACGATCACATCTGTCTGAGTCCACTGTCGGAATGGCCTTTTGGGTAAGGATGTGACTGGAGGAAGGAGAGAGAGGCTGGTCCTTGCAAGGGTCAGACCTCCGGCTCCCATGGGTCCCCTTCCTCCTGCTCACACCTAGTCAGTCTCGGGTCAGAGGGTGTCCCTCACTTCATTCCCCTTCCACCCCACTACAGCTTCTTCCCAGTTCCATTCCTGTCCTCTTCTTCCTGGGCCATCTCCAGACTCCCACTCACCCTACTCTGCTCCCAGGGGGCCTAACACCCGGCTGTGACAGTGCCCCCCTCACTCTAATCTCCCAGGCTCTCACAGCCCAGCTCTCAAAGCCGTCCAGGGCATAGGCGTCTCTCCCAGACAGCTCAGCCCTGGCTGCAGTCTACCTCCCCCCGAGCACCTTCCTCCAGGTGCTCATTCTCCTCTCTCCCTTCTCCCAGAGCTCCTGTCCCTCCAAGGCCCTGTTCAATCCCAAGTGCTTGGGCGAGCTGGTGGACTGAGTGATGGTTAAGGCAGTGGATGCCACACGGCCCACTGTGCAGTTGAGTCCTAGGCCTAAAGGCTGGAGAAACACACCAAGCCATGGCACACATGCATGCCCCAAATTCCAAAAGGAGGAAGAGAGGGACAAGGAGCTGTGGTATGACTGCCCCCCACCCCCACCTCTCTCTGGCAAATGCACACGCCCTCTGGCAAATTTAAGAAAAAGATCCCAACTGCTCTGTGGCACTTTTCCTCAAATTAGAATGAATCCTCCTCTCGAGTCTACAGATGATGTAGTGGTTACGTCGCTGGATTATCACGTGGCTGACTACAGTTTGAGTCCCGGATCCAGTGGCTTCAAACTCACACCAGGCATGTGTGTGTGCATGCCCCAGATCCCAGGAGGAGAAGAGATTGCAGCGTGGCCCTCCCCTGGGGGGTATTTTTGCACTTTCTGTCTCTCTGGCTAGCACATGCACCCTATAACAAAAATCTCTCAGGAAAAAAGAAAGAAAGAAAGAAAGAATTAACCTTCCTGTGAAGTTTCCAGCTCTTGCTCACTTATAATAATTTACTTATTACAAACTTTGGCTCCAAGGACTGCCAGGGTTCCAAGTCCATTCTGAGTAAGTTATTTAAATTTTTTTTTCTTTTATTGCCAGAGATGTGTTCTCCCCAGAGAGAGGGGGGATGAAAGCACCTCCTAATGGGGTGAGGTCAGGCCACAACCCCTTCTCCATCTCTCCAGCCTGTCAGGATTTGGGGCACACATGCACACATGCCTGGCATTTTTTTTTTAAGAGGTTTTTGCTATAGGGCGCGTGTGCTCGCCAGACAGAGAGAGACAGAGAGAGAGATAGAAAGCGAGAAATCACTCCCCAGGGGGGATGGTCATGCCACAATCCCTTCTCCTCCATTCTCCTCTCGGGATCTTGGGCACGTACGCACATGCGCCCGGTGTGAGTTTAAGCCACCGGGTCCGGGACTCGAACCACGGTTGACTACGTGGGAGTCCAGCAACATAGCCATTATGCTAACTGCTGGTCCCAACCTGGCATGTTTTTTAAGCCACCAGGTCTGGGATTCAAACTGTGAACAGCTATGTGGGACTTGGATCCCTTACTGCTGAGCCAGGGGCCAACCCTGAGCAAGTTATTTAATCTCTCAGTATCTCAGTTTCTCATCCATGAAATGGGCATGCCCTCACAGGACTATGCTGTAGATCCCAGGAGTTTACACCTGGAAGTGTTCAGAGCAGGGACTGGCTCAGTCTGGGTGCAACAAAAGTAACCTATCTATATTATTATACTAGGGAAACTTTCTGTCAAGAGTGGGCTGTGCACTCCAGTGCAGACTGCCTTTTCTCTCCCTTTCTTCCTTCCCTCCCTCCCTCCCTTCCTTCCTTCCTTCCTTCCTTCCTTCCTTCCTTCCTTCCTTCCTTCCTTCTTTCTCTCTTTCTTTCTTTCTCTTTTTAAGAGAGATTTTTGCTATAGGGCATGTGTGCTCACCAGAGAGACAGAGGGAGACAGAGAGACAAAAAGCGAGAAATCACCCCCCAGGGGGGATGGCCATGCTGCAATCCCTTCTCCTCCATTTTCCTCTCGGGATCTTGGGCACGCACACACACACACGCTGGTGTGAGTTTAAGCCACCGGGTCCAAAACTTGAACCGCATCAACTACGTGTGAGTCCAGCGATGTAGCCATTACACCACCTGCTGGTCCCATTTCTGTCCCAGTTTCTCCTTCTGTGAGGTCCTAGAAGTCCAGGGAGTTCTTGACATTTTGGAAGTGTTTTCTTGGCTGTCTCTTCCCTTGTCCTAGAGACTCACCGCTGTTAGGGGGATTGCTCTTCTAACCCTCTCAACAGCTCTATGAGGAGTAACTGGTATCGGCAGCCCCATTTCACAAACGAGGAAATTGAGGCCCAGGGAGATGATGTGGCTGGCCTAAGATCCCCAACCAGGAAGTGATAAGAAGCAGGATTTAAACCCAGGTAGTCTGGCCCTACAGCATGCTCTTGGTGACTACATCCTCTGCCCTTGATGGGAGCTGGAAGAATGGATTCCTGGGTTTTGGAGGACCCCGGGGCTGGGAAACAAGGTGCCTGAGTGCTCAGAGGATGGGGGGAAGGGTGCCTAAACCTTGTTGGGGTTGGAGCCTAGATTCCTGGGTTCTGGAAGAAAATGGGGCTGGGAAGTGAGAGAGTAAGGACTTGGGGGTGGGATTCTGGGTCTTAGAAGAAAGTAGGGCTGGCTGGCTGGGTCCCAAGGAGAGGACAGACGTGTTGGGGGTCCAGACGCCCACATTCCTCAGGTGCCCTGAGGGCCGGAGGATGAGCAGTCTGGACCAGGGCGGGACCTCACCATGACTCCAGTGCAGAGGCAGACGATCTTGCCCCACATGGTGCCCGGGACCACGTCGCCATAGCCGATAGTCAGGAAGGTGATGGGGATCAGCCACAGTGTGTCTGCAAGGTCCCCAGTGGCATTGACAGCCTGCCTGTGGGGAAGGGAGGGTGAGTTCTGGTGCCACCCCCTGGAGGTTGCCGTGATGTCTGCGCCCCACTTCCCCCCCCAAGGAGCACCTGGACTAAAGCCAGTCCACCCTGAGAGCCTGCCTGACCTGTCCGCTGTGTGACCTAGGCAGGATGCTTGGCCACCCTGGGTGGAGAGATCCGAACCAGCCCTAGGCAGTTCCAAAGCCTGGTGATTTCAGCTGCCTGGACGATGCATTCCGAGTGTGTGGTTGAGGGGTGAGGAGAGCTGACGCCCAGCCCAACCTTTACGGGTCAGACCCTGGCCAGAGGCTGCATCCACCCAGAGGAAGAGACGTCTTTCTCTAATTTCTACAAAGATGCTGTGTGGCCCAGAGGCGGCTCTATCAGGACCCTAAAGGTAGGATTCTAAAGCGTCATGGCGAGATGTTGCCTTTCTTTGCCCTAACCTGATAGAAGAGGACATTTAGGCCCAGCCAAGGAGAGAACTGGAAAACGGAGACTTGTCTAACTTTACTCACAGGCCTCTTTGCATCAAGATGAGCAGGGGAAAACATAAGGCAACATTCGTGTGGGCTCCAGATACCTCAGATCTCTGCACGAGAGTTTCTGGAGGTGGGGATAGAAACTGCACAGTTAGCAAGCTTTGTCCTCGTCCCAGTACAGTCAAGTTTGGGGACTTCTGCCTTGGGATTTTGAACTTTAACCCCCTTCCCGTTTTCCCATTTCTCAGATAAGAAACATCAGGGGGGTGGGGACCATTTATCAGTCTTGATTCTGATGAATTTCCCAGTCGATAAAACTAAGATTCTGGGAAGTGAAGAAATGTCAAATCACGGAAGAGGGTCCAGCAGTTGGCGTAATGGCTGTCGCTGGACTCCCATGTAGTTGACTGCGGTTCGAGTCCCAAACCCAGTGGCTTAAACTCATGCCAGGCCCGTATGTGTGCGTGCCCAGGATCCTGAGAGAAGAATGGAGGAGAAGGGATTGTGGGGTGGCCATCCCCCCTGAGGGGGGGGCGTGATCCCTCGCTTTCTGTCTCTCTGCCTCTCTCTGTCTTTCCAGTGAGCACATGTGCCCTATAGCAAAAACCTCTCAAAAAAAAATAAATAGATCACAGAAGAATAGACTTGCCAGGGCTACTTGAAGGATGGTGGAATTTGACCCCCATTTTGCAGATGAGGAAACACGAACTAAGGCTCCGAGAGGCGAGATCTGAAGCCAGATGGTATCATTCTGCCCTCAACAGCCCTTTGCCAGATACTCTAACCCCGAGGTTCTCAAACCAGGGTGAGCACCAATCAGCTGGAGGGGCCGTTAGAACGGAGGGCTGGGCCCCACCCCAGAGTTTCCGAGTCAGTGAGTCTGGGTGGAGCCTGCGCATCAACATTGTGACATGTCCTCTGGTGATGCTACCGGTCCTGCAACCACACGTAGGTGTCTGTCTCCCTAAGAGGGAGGAATGGAGCTCTGAGAGGGTACAGGCCCCACATCAGGCTACAGTGTCCGGCCCGTAGCCAGAACCTGCTCCCAACGCCCTGTGGGGAATTATTCCCAGAGCAGCTCCAAACACCCTCCCCCTGCCAGGGTGACAGCAAGCACCAACGATGCCACTGTGCTGTTCTAGTCTGGAGAGATGTCCCCTTCTCCCCAAGGCAGATGCAATCTTTGGTCAGATCCCAGAACCTGGGTGTGGAGACTGAACAGGTGCCTGGAAACCTGAGGCAGGAGAGACCGTGCCCGCAGGGACGGCTTTTTGGGGTTGTGTGTCCGGGAGGAAGGGCTTATGCCGAGAAGTGGCAGGACTGCCCAGGTGATGAGGGTGTGGTCAAACCTCAGAAGTGTGGAAAATGAGAGCTTCCTCCACTGCTTGGCCCTGGGCACCCAACCTGCACCACCGAACTTGACCTGAATCTCCTCTGCGTGCGCGCGCGCGCGCGCACACACACACACACACACACACACACACACACACACACACGCTCACACCCCATACGCTCCACCCGCCCCCCAGCACTCACCTCTCGGCCACCGACAGCACCCAGGCAGTGGTGAGCCAGAGGCCAAGCGTGAGACCGAGCAGCAGGCGGCCGGGGTGCGTGTTCATGTACAGCTTGGCCACGAACCAGTGGCGGAAGCGGACCTGGTTGAGAGCGCCGATGCTGCGGTACGAAGCGTTGAGCAGGACCCCGCTGCGCAGAAGCACGGCGCGGGGCACCAGGTAGAGGCGCAGCAGCATGGCCAGCGACAGCAGCGCCTCCCCCTGGCCCAGGAAGTTGGGCCAGGTGTGCGCGGCGGTCGGCGGCGCCCCGGCCCACTGCGCGCACGGCGGGCCTCGCACGGGAGCCGGGTGCAGCCCGCACACCGCCAGCTCCAGCACGATCTGCGCCGCCTGCCGCCCGGTCAGCGCCACGCGCCAGTCCCGGAGCCCGTTGTCGGTCATGAACAGCTGCCGGGAAGGGGACGACGGGGAGGGCGGTCAGGCGCGGGTCAAGCAAGGACTTGCCCGCCTGTGCCCCGAGATAAGGGGGGCGCGCCCGCCAGGCCTGGGAGGGAGGGAGATAGCGCAGGGGCGTGGGGCAGGGAAGGCTGGGGAAAGAGCGGGCTGGCCTACGACTTCTCTCCGCCTTCTGCCGGCTCTTCCAGCCCAGGCAGGCAAACTGAGCGCCCTGTGTGCCCGTGTGACCTAAGCAGACAGAAACCCGTGCCTCCCCAGGGTGACATCCACATCCCCGAGTCCTCTCCTCCTGTTTCTGGGACACCCCTGTAATAACATCAGCAATCAATGGGCATTTCCGATGTGCCAGGCACTGCTCCATGGCCTCTACACGGAGGGATTCAGGGACGCTCACAACAGTGAGACCCGTGTTACTGTCACCTCCATTTTATTAGAGGCAGGAACTACGGCCCAGGTCCCTCAGCTGGGCAGCGGTCACTCAACTGCTCTATGACTGTCGTTGGAGATATGTGTACCTCTCACTGAGCCCCATGCCAGGCACTGCACCGGCATTAGCAAGTGTGGCCAATAACCCCGATTTTATATGCAAAGGTATAGGGGGACAGGATGGAGAGAGGGGATGGGATGTGTCTGGGTGGGAGGAGGTAGGTGTGGGTGGGAAGAGTTCCGGTCTGGGAAGGATATTGGCCCAGAGATGAGGAAGTTGAGACTAGGCACCAGTGGGGTCCTTAGCTTTCTAGGGACCAGGATAGGGGGTGGCCAGGCCTAGGGTGAGGTTGCCTGGGGGGCGAGTGGACAGAGCCCAGGAGCTGGGGAGCTGGCGGGGTGGGTACTCAGCATCTGTGAGTGTGTGCGGGAGACTGGGGGCGGCAGGTGGAGGCAGGGTGCAGTGCTCCAGGGGGCTGTGTCTCTGCCCATGGTCCATCCCACACGGAGGGTGAGGGCGTGGGTGCATCTGCACTGGAGGAAGCTCATTACTCAGGTCAGGAGTAGGAGGGTGAGGAGTGTGAGCCACTGGCGGGTGGGGGTGGTGGTGGGGGGGGGGGGCGCGGCGCGGCTGCCCTACCTGGACCTCCTTGGCGTGAAAGGCCACAATGAAGCAGAGGAGCAAGAAGGTGGAGATGCTGATCATGCACTTAACCAGGAACAGGGAGAGGGCCCACTGTTGGGAGGGACAGAAAGAGGGTGAGAGATTCCAGGTCTCCGTCTGGTCCCTGTCCTCCACCTTCCGTCCCAAACACTGGCCCTCCTCAGGCCCCGAGTCTCTAGCCTCTTCTCCTCCACACCAGTGCCTCTTGCTGTCTGAGTTCTGGGGAAGTCTGGACACTGTCATCTTGTCCCCAGGAACAGTGTTCCTTCCTTCCCAACAGGACGACCCTATCCAGATGGTCCACTGGTCTCCTCAGCAATTCTCCTTGGACCCACCCCTCAAGGGAGACCTTGAAACTCACATGCCTTCCTATGCCCATGTCCCCCTTCCCCATCAAAAATAGTTCCCCAGGTGTGTGTGTGAGAGACAGAGAGTGAGAGGGGCAGGGTGTGTAGAAAAAGACATTTGGCCTCTAGAAAGTGTTCCCCTGTCCCTTCTCACCTAGCGGGTCCTGCCCCAGAAACCAACTGCAGTGTACGACCCCCCCATTCCAGAAGAGCCATTCAATCCCCAAGGACTGGATACCCTTCCCTGCTGTCATCCCAGAGGCTGAGTCCCAGAGACCCCAGCCCCAGCTCTGAGACAGCCCCCCAGGCCTGCCTTCTGGCAGCTCCCCCCAAAGCCTGCCCTCTCTCCTGGCTCTCAGCCCAGGGCAGATTTGGCCGGAAGCACAGGGCCTCCAGAAACCACCAAGTTTTTTCCCTCTCTTTGTTTGGCGATACCTTGGAGGAGTCTAGAATCTGGAGGGAGGGTTCTAAAGGACTGCGGGATTCTCCAGGAGGGGTTGGTCCCTGCCTGGGGGTGTCGGAGAGAAGCCACGTGGGCCTAGGCTGAGCCTTGCACCTGTTTCTCCTAAGAGGCTGCCAGCTCCCCTGGCTGGGCCAGGCCTGCCTCTGAGCAGGGAGGAGGGCCAGTTTCCTGCCCCGGGGGCCTGCTCCCCCACCTCCTTCCCGAACAATGGTGCGGTTGTCCTCAGCCCTCCCCCACCTCCTTCATCTCCCTGGCTCCCTGTCTCTCTCTGTCTCAACTCCCACCACATGAACATGAGCCCCCTCCCCACACTGCAATGTGCTTCTCTGGTGGCCCTCCGCGCCTTTCCAATTCCTCTCTGCTCAAATTCTGACCCGTCTACACTTGGGCCCCTGCTCTGGTCTCTGAATTTCCCTTTCTCTGGGGATGGTGGTTTCCGTCTGTTTCTGTTTTGACTGTCTCTGTTTCGACTGGCCTGCGTCGCTGTGCGAATCTCACAGGTGGGTTTCTCAGTAGCTCTCGAGCTCCGTTGGGCTCCCTCTGGGGCTGTACCTCTGTCTCTTGCTTCATCGTGTCTCTGTCTCTCCAGCTCTTTCTGCAGATCTCTGTCTCTCTGCTTCTCTACATCCCTCTCCCTACCCCCACCTCACGGCTATCTCTATCTTGTTCTCCTGGACGCTCCAGGGGCGGAAGCCTCCCTCTCCTTCGGCTCTTCCCCGCTGGGGAGCAGGTGTCTGGGTCCTCTAAAGTGAGTGCACTAGATTGAGATGGAAGTGGGGAGGGGGCATGGATGTGATCATTACATCATCAGAAGGAGACCCTCCAGGGTCACGGGTTTTAATCCTCACCCCCAACTGACAGATGGGGAAACTGAGGCTCAGAAAGCTGCAGCAGCTTCCCAAGGTCCCACTGATGGAGGCAGCGGCCTGGCAGGTGGTGGGAGGAAGGAAGGAAGAAATCAGACAGGAGGAGGGCGAGGGGGTGGGGAGCAGGACCCCTTGTCCTTTCCCATCTGCCAAGGCTGCCACCTCCCCCCGGGCGCGGTGCTGAAGCTTGGGAGCGGCGGG